AGATAATGCTTGTCAAAAGAAAAAGTAAGGCATCTTGAAAAGTAAGAGAAATATCACCATTTGATCACTTGTAGTTGCAATTGGAAGGAGAAGGTTCAAACCCCCCTGTAGTTTCTTCAAAAGGCATACAAGTATAAATGATACATAACATTAGGTTTGTGATTACATCTTTTTTTACTTTTTTGCTCATAAGAACTATTACGTACTTCATTAAATGTGTCTAATTTCGTTAAACTGGCAGCCATGAAGCTACATTTATCAACAACATCGCTGATGGAATCTTAAGCCAAGTGTTACACTAATAGCAATACTACTAGCATATAATATGAATCTCAATTCACAAGCTTCAATACTTTGAAGAACACGCCCAAGTACTTTGAATCCCAATTGGCTTTAGTTAGCTTCTTTCTTCAATTGCAGGCTTCCTCCCTCTGTTCAAGTGAAAGATAGGTCACATCTATGTTGCTTTTTTTCTTCTTAAGGTCACATCTATGTTTCTTTTTTTCTTCTCTTTTTTAGTCATCTGTATTGCTTGATTATTTTTTATATTTTGATGATTGCTCTGCATTATTTAGTACAATATTATAATTTGGCTATAACAAATTTGAATAACACCATAAAACATAGTTTCAACAGCAAATTATGATAATTTTATATTAGGTCCAAAAGGTTTTCTTAAAATAAAGGATTATTCGCAGCAATGGTCCCTCAACTATACCCCAAGTTACACTTTTGTCACTCAACTCAAATATTAGTTGCAAAAGTCACTCAATTAGGTGTTTTGTTGCACCGTTAGTCCTACCGTGAAACTATTGGCATCCTAATCTTCCATCGAAGAAATTTAGAGCCTCAAATATAAAGTCGCAGACATAGAGCCCCATTGTGAGAGAGAATAAATTTTCCATCGAAGATACCATGTACTGAAAGAAAAGAGATACAAACCAGCCTTAATAATAGTTAAGAGGTACCTTAGCCAAAAAGTAGGTACCTTCGCATCTAGGATAAAAAGACGAGAAGTTGCCTTGGAGGTTCCTTACCCTTTACTTCAACAAATTGTAGGTACCTTCGCATTACAAAGAAACTGCTTCAACTGACTATAACTAAATACCACAGAGATAGTCGTCAACATTGCTGCTACTAGACCAGTTTAAGAAAAAACCAAACCATAAAACTTGTTTCAGTATTCTTTCAATTTTTTATTTTCAGACCAAAAAACAAAATCTTTGGATAGAAAGACCCTCATTTGAAAGAAAGCGCGTCAGTGAAAAAAGAAAAAGAAATATCACCGTTTGACCACTTTTGTAGCTGTCAATGTAGGCCCATATCTGCTATTTAGCAATACTGGCCATGTGCACTCTCTTAAAGCAATTTATTCAGCAAAGAAAAGGTAAAGAAAGGTAGTGCCTATCACCTATAATGCTTCACCAAATTAAAGACCGCGTCAGTATGAAAAAGAAAATCTAGCGTTTTTGATGACTTGAAGTTGAAACGAAAGTTCCTCACACCTTTAACTTAATCACGTCCGAGTGGAAGGTGGTAGGAAACCGCTTCGTCAAGCCCTCATAAATCTAACCAGAGCGCCACTGCCATACCCAATTCTTTGAGCTTCTCTTTACTTTTAATTATCTGCCTCCTATCTATGACTACTCAACCAGTCTCTTCTTCTCCTTCTTCTTCTTCTTCTTTCACTCATGATTCATCATGCACATATGAAGTGTTTTTGAGTTTTAGAGGTGAGGATACACGCACCAATTTTACAGATCATTTGCACGAGGCTTTAGTCCGTAAGGGAATCCGGACCTTCATTGATGGAGAGCTTGTAAGAGGAGAAGAAATATCGCCAGCCCTTGTCAAAGCAATTGAAGAATCAAGAATTTCTCTCATTGTATTCTCTGAAAACTATGCATCTTCCAGGTGGTGCTTAGATGAACTTGTCAAGATCCTTCAATGTAAAGAATCAAAGCAACAAATAGTTTTGCCCATTTTTTACAAGGTGGATCCCTCAGATGTGCGAAAACAAACAAGTAAATTTGGTGTCGCATTTGAAGGCCTTATTGAAAGCAAATTCAAAGATAACGAGGAGAAGGTGCTCAAATGGAGGAGAGCTCTTACAAAAACAGCAAATTTGTCCGGACATACTTTCAAGGATGGAGAGTAAGTATACCTCTATCTTTATCATTTTCATGTTTAATTTTTCTCTCTTCTTTCTCATTACTATTTCTTACACATTTAATTTTTACTCATTATTAAATTGTAGGGAGAAGATCTTTATTTTATTTTATTTTTAATAAATATTTTCGATGTCATATTTTGAGGCCAAACTTATATATTTTAATAAGCATACAAAATGTGGTATGAAAAATGTGGTATGCCTAGCATTTTCTTTAAAAAAAATTAGAAAAAGTAAAAAGACATCAAGTCTTGTGTGCTGCCACACGTGGGTGGGTACAGGATTGCCACAGCAACTGCAGAATATTGGAAATAGAGAGTATTGTATGAGTCACCACATGATTAGCTAAAGTAACATTTCCAGAAATATTACTTAAATTTATATATAAAAAATGTTTTGATGAAGATGCCCTCCACTTTTCTCAATAGAGTAATGTAATTATGTAACTCATAATATTGGAAATCGAATAAATATAAAATTACGAGTACTTTTGCATTGGAATTTCCTTTCAATTTTTCCAGCTAAAATTATAGACACAATTGCAATTGATCATTGGAATTAGAAGAGGAATGAAACTACATTTGGTTAAACTGGCAGGTATGAAACTAGATTTATCAACAACATCGTTGATGGAATCTTAAGCCAAGTACTGAGCCGCACATATTGGAATGTGGCCAAGTACCCAGTTGGAATTCAGTCTCATGTACAAGATGTGAAAAAGCTTTTAGATGTTGGTGGGAATGGTCGTCACATGGTTGGGATATGGGGGACATCTGGAATAGGCAAGACAACAATTGCAAAAGCCATATGGAATGCAATTGCCTATGAGTTTGAAGGAAGTTGTTTCTTGTCAAATGTTAGAGAAAATTCAATGTCAGATGGAGATTTAATCAAACTAAACAGCGGCAGCAGCAGTGACGCTAGTGGTAGTTGTTGGGATGTGGTGCTCTTCTCTACTCTACGCCGACCGAAGAACTATGCTTGTGTAAGACAATAACTTGTCTTACGTAAATGTGGTCTTCTAATCCTATAAGGATTTGGCAATTCACATGATCTAGGAGTGCAAACTTAAACATTATCTGCGGTTCTTTTTCTAGAGAGTGTTTTAATAAGAAAAGAACTTAGAGAATTCCTAATTCTATATGGATTGAAACACACTATCCTAATGCAATCTGGATTGCTTAAGTATTTCTTAATGGGCAGGAAACTTAAGTAAATGCATATAAATAGAGGTCCCTTCTCTATCAGTCGAAATACATACTCATACAGAAATCTCACCCCATAAGAGAAAGAGCTTAAGGACTGCATAGAAGAAGAAGATCTCTATCCTACCTACTGAAGCCGTGTCTGATCAAGGTTAGTATTATTGAATAAAGACTTGAAATAACTTACAAACCGAGCTCTTGAGCTTTTTAGTTTCAGTGCCTTCGGAACCAACAAACCTCCAAAGGATTATTTGGAACTCGCACAACGTGCACTAGCGTATGCTCAAGGCATTCCACTAGCTCTAACACTTTTAGGTTCTCATCTTCGTAATAAAGACAAAGATCGTTGGCAAAATATATTAGATAGTTATGAAGGAGAACCATACACAGGTATTCAAGAAACACTTCGAAAAAGTTATGATGCCTTGGAAAAATCTGTGCAACAAGTTTTTCTAGACATCGCATGTTTCTTCAAGGGTGAAGATAAGGACTATGTTCTAAAAATAGTAAGCAATTCTAAGAACAAGGTCTCCCGAGATTGTATTGAAGTACTCATTGAGAAGGCAATGATAACTATTGACTATGGTGGGATTCAGATGCATGACTTACTAGAAAAACTGGGCAAGGATATAGTTCATGAAGAATCCCCCAATGATCCCGGCAAGCGTAGTAGATTGTGGTTTTACGAGGATGTTGAACAAGTTCTAACGGAAAGTACAGTAAGTATCACATATGTTATTATATTCAATTTGACAAGAAAGAATACCTTATGTAACCTATATAATTTTCTTAACAAAATGTGCTTGCATTTTGGTTTGTAAAATGACTTCGTTTTTTAATGTTAATGCTTTCTATCTTAGGGAACAAAAAAAATTATAGGCATCAAGGTGAATCTTCCAGAACCAGCGGAGATAACCTTGAATCCAGAATGCTTCCGTAAAATGGTAAATCTTGAAATTTTCATAAACCGTAATGCATCTCTATGGGGGCACATTAGCTATCTGCCCAACACGCTAAGATTGATTAAGTGGGATAGATGTCAGTTACAATCTTTGCCATCCAATTTTCAAGGAAATCATCTTGTTGAGTTCAATATGCCTCGCAGTCATATTAGACAATTAGAGGGATTTAAGGTATGTACATATGAAATTATTTTCATCTATTAAATATAATTTCAAATTTCAGAAGGAAAAGAACGAAAATTGTTTTCTAAGTTTTTGTCTTTTGAAGAGTGTGATTAATTATTTCCTATTTTTGTGTTCTTGTCTCACAGCGTTTGTCAAAGTTGACATCTATTAATTTAAGTGGTTGTCAATTCTTAGAAAAAATCCCAGAGCTATCCGGAATCCCAAACATAAAGTACTTGAATCTAAGTCAGTGTACAAGTTTGGTTGAGGTTGATGATTCTGTTGGACGCCTTGATAAACTAGTTGAATTGAATCTTAAAGGATGTGTTAGGCTTACGAGGTTTGCAACAAGACTTAGATTGAAATCCTTAAAAACACTTGATCTAATTGATTGCATAAGGCTTGAGAGTTTCCCAGAAATAGAGGTGGAGATGGAATCACTACGGAGTTTGTACATATCAAGAAGTGGCATAAGAGAATTGCCTTCATCTATTGCATATCTTACTGGGCTTGACATGTTGGAAGCTAAGGATTCCGTATTACAGCTGTGGCCCAACCTATCTAAATTTTGTCTCAAAGGATGCAGTCAAATCAGAAAATTGGAGAGATTTAAGGTATGTTTTTAAATTATTTTCATCTTTTATTATTTCATATTAGAGTTCATAATTCAGAAGGAAAAAAGAAACAAAAATCTTTTGAAAACCAGTGATTGATCATTTCCTAATTTGTTTTTTGACTCACAGCATTTGGCAAAGCTGAGATTTTTGGATTTGAGTGGTTCTCAATTCTTAGAAAAAATTCCTGACTTATCCGAGATCCCAAACATAGAGCACTTGGATCTATGTAGGTGTACAAGTTTGGTTGAGATTGATGATTCTATTGGACTCCTTGATAAACTTGTTGAATTGAATCTTGATGGATGCGTTAACCTTACGAGGTTTGCAACAAGACTTAGATTGAACTCCCTAGAAAAACTTTATCTAAGTGATTGCAAAAGGCTTGAGAGTTTCCCAGAAATAGAAGTCAAGATGGAATCATTGTGGTGGTTGGACATATCAGGAAGTGGCATAAGAGAATTGCCTTCATCAATTGCATATCTTACTGGTCTTCCAGAATTACCGCTGCTTCCTGAGCTATATTCATTTACACTCAGAGGATGCAATCTATCAAAAAGTGATTTCGCCCTGCCCCTTGTTTACTGGTACACATTAACAGAACTTGATCTATCGGGAAACAATTTTGTCAATCTTCCGAGAGGCTTTAGCAAATTTGTCAACTTGAGGGAGCTTCGCTTGACTGATTGCGAGAGTCTTCTGGAAATTCCAGAACAAGTGCTTCCACCAAAAGTAAGTCCGGTAAGGCTGGATAACTGCACATCATTGCAAAAAATTCCAGAAGTGTCTTGGGTATTGCTGGATAACTGCACATCATTGGAGAAAATTGGCAGTATGTATCTGAGTTTGACCAATTGCGTTAGACTACGCGGCTACTACGACATCACAGAAAATATTTTTCTGAATCCGCGTTTTGATTACGACATTAATCTTCCAGGCGATGAAGTTCCAAAGTGGTTCAGCTATTGTAAAGATGCAACAATAGTTAGAACAAAGAGATACCAATACGATGCTAGATGTGAAGTTAGTTTTGAAATTCCTCCAAATTTAAAATGGGAGACGTTAAGATTGGTTCTATGTGTTGTTGCTGTTGCTGAGGTATCTATTTTCAATATTTCTTTCACGATTAGTCTCAATGGACAACGCGTCAATGAGATACGTCTTGACAGGATAGAGGAAGGTCATGTGCGGCTCACGTGTATTCCATTATTGAATCGGAACTACGTAAATTTAAGTCAACCACTGAAGCCGGGTAATCTGTGTAAAGTTGAGTTTCTCTTGTCTCTGTATGGCAGAGTGCCCGCAATCGATAAAATTCCCTGCGGGGTCCACCTATTAGGCCACCAGGTTGCTGATGTCAGTGTGACTGAAGATTTTTATCAGCGGTTGTTGCCTGAAGCGAATGATGATCAACACCAAGACTACGAATCGACTTCCTTGTCTTCAGCATCAAAGACTAGTCTTGGCAAGAGGCCTCGCGAATCAGATTTCATGGCACTTGACGATGATCATTGTGCTAACCGCCCTCGACATTGGTGATCATGAAGCTCAATGGCTTACCTTGTTTACGGGGCCAGCGGATCACCCAAAGAGGAGGCACATCGATCTTAATGAGGAGCCAAAGTATGTAAATCCATTAAATGTTGAATGATATCTTTGCATTTTCTGCTCATATATCTGCGTTTTGTGTTCAATTCAAACTTACCAATATTTTGCTGTGCATCTCTGGGGTATATGTTGTAGTTTTCAGGGTGTGAATTTTTTTTTTCTTTTTGTTTTGGGTTAAATCCTTTTTCTTAGCGCTCTACATTTGACATTAAATTTTCAGGCAATGAAGTTCCAAAGTGGTTTATGTGAGCCCCAGGTTTAGCTGTTCAAACGAACTAAATTTCCGAATAATGGTCTGATAAATCAAGAGGTGTGTTGAGGGGCCAGCAGTTTCTGAGATTTTAAGTTGCGTAAGGCAATACATTTCTTCTCAATTGATGCATCCAGGATTTATGAGAGGATGAAAGAAACTGTTTTCAAGCCGGATTTATCTAATGCTTTCATTCCACACAAATACTTTGTCTATGATTCTTCTATCTCATTCATTGGAATTGATGTATGTTGGGGACGAAATGTAACAGATTTATCTATTTCATAATTTCCAATCAAGATTTGTGGAAAACCAGACATTAATTGTAAACATGCATCCAAATAAGTCCAATATATTTCTGTTGAAAGATTGTGTCTTATTATACTGGTGATGTTGCTGGTATTGGCAAGGTACAAGAATCCCAACATGTCTAAATCATGTGAAGTTGCTGCAATTCAACCAGGGACTGTACTTGGCTTTGGCTAACCTGGGCTACAGCCCAGGTGGCTTTTAAAATCCCAGCCCAGCCAGCCATCCAAGTGAATATCCTAATCCTACCCTTCTTAGGAATCCTTTGCTTACACAGCTTGCATGTGGGGAATAAAAGGGAAAGCTGCAACCTATAGCAACGGCACATAGGAGAGAAAAAAAAAAAGGGGAATGCACTCAGCCTGTGGAAAAAAAGAAAGGAAAAAAGAAGAAATTTTTTAACTGTAGTTTTTTTATCTACTTAATATGTTTATATGTAAAGTAAATTTAGCCCAGTCAAGTTCGAAATCCTGGGTCCGTCCCTGAATTCAACTGCAGGATAGTTGTTCAAGATATTTTTTATAATCATGCAAAAGACACCAAATGGGATTTGGAACAATTGAAACTGCAAGATGAAAAGTTTGATGGGCAGCGATAGATAGTATCATCCATATTGTGTAGTTTGCGAATGGATTTTGGTTCTTTGAATATCAGTTGCTGTTTGGACAGCCCTCGTAGAGCTAACATCTCCAATGGCTCCATTTACCCAAAAATAATCTGACTTTAGAAGCTGGGAAATCGACGGCAGGAATTATATAACTTCATTCTTTGTTCACGAAAGCGCATTTTTATTGTCATTGCATGACCAGAAAGCTACTATAGATGTTGAATGTTCAATTTTATCCACCCAAAATTACAAGGGGATTCTCATAGTCAAACAGATAACTTCAACTTACAATGTTAACCAAGTAAAACTTATGACTGAGGAATAAATGTCCCTACATCAAAAACGAAAATTCACTTCATACAACAATATTATAACAAGAGTGTGGTACACAGCAGTGTAAATGTAGACAAATATGCACGGCAGAACCATGTCTCCGTGGAGCGCAGCAAAACTGCCCACATTGAAGCAAAGAAAAAGCTCCGCATTGAATTGGCTCAAAACAACATATTCAAGCATCACCAACTATTGCAGCAAACTTCCATGTTCATTCTATGCACCTCAGGTAGGATATCCATTTCTCTATGAGCTGAAATTTCAAAGGCATATATTTTCAAAAGAAGAACTCACACACTTCAGTTTGAACAAGTAAGATACAAATCTACACACAAATACAAATGGTGCTTTTTTTATGAATAGATAACCGAAAATAAAAATGCGAGAAGAAAAGTAAAAACGACGCTTTTACTACAAACCGTTGTCTTGTTTATTAACTGTAAAGACAACGGTTTTTTGAAAAGAACTGTCGTCTGTTATTTCTAAAGAAGGACAGGTTCAACAAGATCCACAAGACAAAGAGCACGAAGGGCCGAGAATTTCAAAAGAAAGGAGGCTAGGTTTGGAGCTTCACAAATTATCAGGAGCTTTAGACAGAGATTGAAAAGATGAGAACCAGAGGGGTTCGCGAAGGGCCACGAATTCACTTAAGTGAAATTTTTATTAGCCCATCTTGGAAAGACGACCGTGACTTCTTTCAACCGTCGTGCTATTAAAATAAACTAATTTGAAAGACGACGTTGACTTATTTCAACCGTCGTGCTATTAAAATCAACTAAGGGTTTCGGACTCCACACCGACGGTTATTATAACACCAATCATGGTTTGTAATGGTTTTGTAAACCACAACGATTTTTTCATTTTGCGTCATGTATCGTTGTTTTATATTATTGTAGTAGTGGTTCTACATGAGGTCATTGAAATAACGAAAATTGGGAAAGTAAATGAAACTGCCCTTATATGCATCTTAAACAATTATTCCCTGACCTCATTACCAAATTTAAGAAGCATGGAAAATTCCTTCCAATCAAAGTCTAAAAAATTACAAACTTCCCAGTGATATTTGAATACGCCTATTCCTCCAAAACTGAGTTTGAGGGGTACCTTGACGGATTCATCATTTGAATATGCCTCTGCCAGGAATATTCTTCCCAAAATTTCTACATGAAGAAAAGAACTGAGAGGACAGAATGTACCTGAAGAAATACAGATGGAAGCTTTGTCTCACCAATTATACGCAAATATGACTCCACCTGCACATAAAGAAGTTTAATTCTCTAACATGTCGAAACATGGAAAGCAAGGAAATGGTTTAAGCAGAAGCAAGCAATGCACAAAATGTTGTAAACATACTACTAGCATATAATCCTCAAATGTTACACTAATAGCAGTACTATAAAAAGGTGAATGCAGCACTATATCTTCTCTGCTCAATTTATCAGGGGCTGTTGAACTCAATGGCAAAAAGAACGAAAACCCTTAGCAATTTTTGCAACCCCAAAATGTTTTTCATCACAAATAACGAACATAGAGTAATGCTTCAATTCCCAATGAGGTAAACTATATCTCGAGGAAAAATCCACCTCTGAGGTCTCAAACGTTATATGCATCAAATAGTTTCAGAGTAACTTACATAATTTTATAACTAACTAGAACACGTGGCACATGTAAGTTATGTGTCAAATTCTTTGACCTGAAAACTCATCCTCCTAACACGATGCGTCCATGATTTTCCCATCAATTGTTGATGGTCTAAGTTAATGGATGAGACTATTTGAGGAGTCTAAATATTTAAGGGAGACATTGACCAAAAGTTCAACAGTAACCTTTGAAATTACACAAAATTTAGGGGGGGCATGCTATAACTTTTCTTTACCATATAATAACTAAAATAGCACCTTTTTAATGACATTGAATAAACCATTTATTAACATAAGGTGTAAAATTAAAGTTACATACTGCAGATGATCTCAACTGACTATCTGCAGAATCATCATCCTCTCCAAATCCCTCAGCAATCAACTTCATCAAGTTATGTGCCACCTTGACATTTACCAAATCTCCCGCATGTTCAAACACTTTGTTCAATGTCAGGCATGGATGACATCGGCTGTTTAATAAGCAATAACAAAATACTCCATCTATATGTATTACTCTTACCTGGATAAACCATTGATTACTTGGTGCAAATTGCTCTGCATGCTCCACACATCAAGAAGCTATATATGTTTTGTAATTGTTATCATTAATGCTAATCAATATCAATCACACGATCCAAAATCACTTCCACATTGGAGGACTTGGTCATCTTGTACAATAGTTAAAATGTTTTTCGCTTCAGAATATCATCTGGGTCCTGCATCATGCACATCAAACTTCATCTAAATTAAAAATTTAAAGCATGATTTGAAACCAATCCATCAAATCAAACCCAACAGAATTCTCTCACCTCTAAGCAATCAGTGCCCATATATTTATTGCTCTGCTATCTCTGGACTAATCTTTATTAGTCGACCAAGGGCATCAATGCCCATATATTTCAAATTATGACTATCACTCTGTCCACCAAATATAACAAGGAATTGGTGTTTAACTCTCCAAATAATCTACATGCAGACTACTGTTCTAACAACTTAGGAATTGGATATATGGTAGAAACGTAATGTAGCAACAAATACACTCATAAAGTACAATATTTCCCATATTACTGGTAGAATCGCAAAAATATCGCTGACTACCATATACATCTTCTCACTCGATTGCTTATCACCACTCCCCAACAATGCCAAGATCTTCAACAATCTAATCTGCATTATCAACCTAATTCCGTTACTACATTACGTTACAACAAACAACAAATAAAGCTCATTATTTCAATTCCTCTATCATGCCAAAAACTTCCCACATGAATAAGCTCAACTTCAATGAAAGTAAGTAAAACCTGAATAGATGGCGCCGGCAACTGATGGTAATCGTAGGTCTTGGGCAACCTGCGCTCGGCGACCTCTTTGAGAATGCTGACAAAGCTGATCACCAAATCCTTTTAGGAATTCACATCGATGGAAATGGGATCAAACAAGGGGCAGACCGTGGCACCCATAACTCCCCGATCGTTATCACAAAGCCGCTTCTGGAAATTCGAGACCAGATGCGAAACCGAAGACGGCTATTCTGATAAAAGCGGTGAAGGGCCATGATGGCCTTCTTCCTGACAGCCTCCTTGGGATGGGCAAGCAGGTCCACGACCTGGGGCAAAACGGCAGGCACAGTCTCGTCGTTGATGAGCTTGCAAACGGCATTGAGAGCAGCGCAAGCGACAAGGTAATTGTCCGACTTGAGATCCTTCTGGATGGTGTTGACGATCAAGATGATCAAATCGTGATCGTCGCTGAGGAAGAGCGAAACGGCGAGGTAACCGGTGCATTTGAGCAAGAGATTTTCGTCATGGGTCATCTTGACGGCGTGGATGTAGGCGAAGGAGCCGTCGTTGCCGAGCATTTCGACGTAGATGAGGCGG